ATTGTCGTGTGCGGTGTCAAGGTCAGTGGCAGGTAGGTGTCCAGCTGTTGTGTCAGTGTCAGTGTCAGTGTCAGTGTCAGTGTCAGTGTCAGTGTCAGTGTCAGTGTCAGTGTGAATGAAGCAAGCGTTCCTATTTCTTTTATTAATTCAAATATGCTTGGTTGTGTTTGTTCTGTCATCTATAATGGTTCTGTTAACAATACCAGTACGTGTGGCCTTTCCCAGTATGATCTTATGTGCTTTTCGTTCAGTCGTCACCAATGTAACCTACTTATCCCTGCTCTACGTATGCGTAATGTGAATGCGCGTTCGTTTTAGTCACAGGCACGATTGTATGTTAGCACAAGCGCATTGATTTCAACAGAGATCTCATCCTAAGATTCTCCCTTCCTCTAGCAGAGATGCAGCGAGACACTCGCTATCCCTCCGCCCACATCGCTTAATCTGTCACTAGAGGGCGTGCCGTACTCTGCGAGGCTTCAGGGCATGGCCCCTGGATTCGTACCGCCAGCATCGCAGGTCAGTTGTTGCGCAGTACATTATGCTGTTATTGCTATTCTTGTTATTAGCAGTTGCTCATTATGCTCGTGCTAGCTATTGCACACTCGTATCCGTTTTGCGTGCGCTCGCTGTGTATCATATGGCTTCCAGCCAGGCACTGAGCAATTATGCTGATAATAATGCTGCTGCTTGTTTCTGGTGAAAAGATCCCGAAGGCTCGCTTCTTTTTGATTAACGGCCTTCAGTTGCTCCACTGTAATACTGGAGCATTTATGCTACCTCACCTACCCTGCCTACGTTATTTAGGACTCAGGAGCATGTTATTTAAGTAATGAAATATTGTTCCTGTCTCGAGTTCTGGCTTGATTTTGCATTGTCTAGTATGTAAATTGCTGCTCATTTCCTGTAAGATTAGTGTTTGTAAATGCAGAGTGATCTCATCTTGCGTTTATGGCAGGTGGAAACTGACACAGTGGCTGAGAAAATTCCTTTTCCTGAGGAGGAGTTCAGTGAAAGTCGGCTAGTGATAAACACGGATGATGATGTTGGAGGTAAGCGAAGCAACATTTGACTGCTCACTGCATCGTGCCCATCTGTCTGAACGTGACGTGATAGACGGACAGCTCCATTCAATAATTGTACTAGGACGTTCTATAAGACTGTTGCGCAACATCGTCGCATTTGGCATGAATGGGGGGAAAAATAATACACCCTGGCCAAACTTGACCGACTTATATATAATAAATAATATCTAGTATCTATATATATATATATTATACGGACCAATATCCAAGGACGATGTGGTCGCTCACGTAATTGGGTCTATTTCGCAGTTAATATAAGTTCTCTTATGCTCGTGTACACATTGTAATTGTACATGTAAGACTTCACGGAAGATATGATGGTGCAACTCGGGTTTTCTGCAGATTTGCAGTTGCAAGTCTTCGGATGGGCTGGGTGATGAATAGTGTCACCAATTTGTGGTGCATGTTGGCACGACAGGTTGCAGCATAATTTGTGACACGGCTAGTTTGTTGCGTTTTTTTGGCGGGTTGTTGCGGCACAGATTGCCACACAGGGCACGCATGTTGGCAGGTTTCAATATTTGCTGCCACACGGCTGGTGTCGGTTTCTGTATAAGCTGGCACACACACAGTCCAACTTACGGCACAAGATATACTACACAACTGGTGTAAGTTTCAACGTAATTTACCACCCAGTCAGTGCAAGTTTCAGCTTGCATTGCCACACAACTGGTGTATGTTTCAAAATAATATACCACCCAGGCAGTGCAAGTTTCAGCATGCATTGACACACAACTGGTGTAAGTTTCAGTACAAGTCAGCGCAACACAGGCAGTGCAGGTATTGTATGCATAATATGTAGGTTGATACTGTGACTAGTCTGTAGTGTGTGTGCCCCCCCCCCACTACAGCTAGTAGTCAGGAGTACGGCTTATCTAATACCACGTTCACACGGTAATGGTTTGGCTCGAGCTAAATGGGCTAAATTTGGCTCGGGCTAAATTTGACTCGGGCTGGTTTGAGTCGGAGCGTTCACACGTACGCAAGTGATTACTGTCTGTCAAATTCAAATTCAAATTCAAATAAATTTTATTGCACAAATATCTCACAAGTACTTTGGCAGTATGTCGCGAGATGGCGTTGTGTACGATTCAGGGTTTATTTCCGTTCCGAGTTAAATTATCAATCTTGAAAACATGCATCCTCATAAAATTCTTCGAATTTTTATACTGTTTTGGACTTTATTTCGTCGAAGTACACGCTCGACACTCGCGGCAACTACCGCTCTATCGATTTAGCTGGTGCTAAAATTTGGCTCGTGCCTGGTCAGACGTTTTCGATTGGACCAAATTGTATCGTGCTAACTCGGCACGGCCCCGAAAAACCGTCCGAGTGAACACTCGGCTCGAGCCAAATTTGGCGCGGGCTAAAAACATCCGTGTGAACGCGCCTTAAGCGAGCCATAAAGCTGTTTATACTCTAATGCCGGTGCTGCCACCTGTAGGCGACGACAATGAGGTGCGAGCCATAAAGCTGTTTATACTCTAATGCCTGTGCTGCCACCTGTAGGCGACGACAATGAGGTGCGAGCCCATGCGGAGAAGATGTCCAACAATGCGCCAAGGGACCGCGCCGTCATCAATCTCAAGTCGGACGAGCACATGCCGTCGGATAGTGACAGCGATCTCAACGATGACAAGGAGGAACTCATTGAGAACAAAGGTGAGTGCGAACACATTATGACACGAGCTCTCGATGCTAGAGATGGTATACGATGGAGATGGATAGAGAAACTCGTTGAGAACAGACGTTAGTTGTGCATTGTAGGAGTAAGATAGCGATGTACTCTTTATGGTGTGGTATCCAGTGATTATCATACTTATTTGATAATAATTATATTTGATTATTATTGTTGCTGTTGTTGTTATTGTTATCTTGCTCCTAATAGTAATGTCACTAGCCCATGATGCTGTGGAGCGAATAATGAAAAAAAATTCATGGCAGAAATGGAAACCATGTCGTGGATTCAGTCAAATCTCATCAACTTTGCGCACGTAATTTGAGTAATCTAAAATTTGATTGATAATCAGCATTACTTTACACAGTTAAACGAACTCCTTGTCCCCACTGTATTACTGAGCCAGTCTAGATGCGTGCAAATGCTCATGAATCTCTTGGATGCTTGTGAAATCCCGACCGACTTGAAATCCGATCACATTCAAGTTGGCAGTCTGATTACGATTTTCACTAGGCTAGCAGAACGATGGCGTGCTGGCGGCTCGTCTCTTCTCCGTGGCGCACGCATTCTCAGCTTCTCCCTTTGTTCTTCTCGTTTTGCAGTTTTTCCCCAGCAGCGATTCTCACCCGTCCGCAAGCCGGCGTCCATGTCCGGCGTCACGCACCGCCCCAAGCCAATCAAGATGTCGCCGGAGAAGGCGGTCGTCGCGGCGACGCAGCCTCCCGTCGTGAACCCGCTGAGCGGTGGCGACGAGAAGTTCATCCTGCCGCGGCCTTCGGGCTCTGCGTCCGGCTTCCAACCGACGTCGGCGTTCCTGAAGGCGTCTCGCTCGAAGACAGATGCGCGCGTCGCCGTGGCGACGCCGAGGGATGTGGTCGCCGCAGCGCAGGGGACGGGCGGCGGCCACCACTCGCCCGCAAAGACGAATCAGGCGCGCTCGCTGCACGGCGTCGCCGTGATGGCGCCGGACCGGCAGCACGTCGTCGTGTCGTCATCGACGAGCGAGACGGCGGCGGCGCGGACGGATCATAATTATTTTTCTCCACGGAGTGACGGGCGGGCCCACGCATCCTTCTCGGCGATTCAGCACAGGGACCAGCTTTATAGCGCCTTATTGAGCGCGGCACCGCACCGCGGCAGCGTCGCGCCGTACAGTCACGCTGACACAGCCTCGATGCCGGACCCAACGCGGGACCCCGCACGCGCGGCCCGCGGCGTCCTCCCCGCGACGGCGGGCTTTGCGCGGCCCGCGACGACCCCCCGTCTCGCTTTCGTCCCGATCGCCGGTACGAAACCCGCGAGGCCTGTCACCGATAACGTGACGTGGCGGGCCACAGCTCCGGTCGGCAGCCGCGCGCGACCGAGGGCTACCAGTTTGGCGTCAGCGCCAGCGCCAAGCATACTTGATATCACGTCCGGTGTCCACGTGAACTGCCGGACGGCTATCGTCAGCGAGCATGCCACGAACGGACCTGGAAAAAATACCAAAAACCACCGGCCAAAAATCTCCCTTGGGGCTCCGCGCGCGGCGGACGCCGGCGTGCGCTTTTTGCCGCCGAGCGCGGGTCGATAGCTGTCGTCGCCCGGTTCGTACGTTATCAAGACCTGTCTTGGTGCCGGAACCGTGGAATGGGTTGGCTTATGTCTTGTATTCACGTTAGCAGTGCATCTACACGTCGAAGGCGGCGGTTCTGGTGTGCGCCGGCGATGCTCGCCAACGTATGCTGAAGCCGCAGCCACCGCGCCGCCGTGCCGGCTGCGTCTCTCCGTCCGCAGGCGCCTGTTCCCGCTGTCGACGCTTGCTGCCGCGCGCACGGCGCACGCACGTCCAGTACATCCTTGCCCTCGCTCACCGTGCAGGCTGGCCCGCGGCAAGGTGCAGATAGCGTTGCTGCCGATGGCACGCATTACCGTTGCGGCTCGGTGCAGAGAACAGGAAACATCCAGCTGACAGGCACAGCGTGCACGTATTCGTGCATTGAACCTGTGTCTCGAGCGCCGGCGCGAAGCCAGCTGCAGCTGGCGCTGGCCATGCCGCCGGCTGAGCGTCGCAGTCGCAGGTCAAGTAACGGAACCCGCCGTTTCAGCAATCCCGTCGCGCATCAGTGGCTCAAGATCGGCGTGATCTCCAATTACCTGGGAGTGGGGCGGCCGGGAGGATGAGCCAGTGCTGAGCTAGTGATAGTTGGGCGGATGTGGTTGGGCCGCCGTGCAGGCTGGCCGCCAGGTTGCCGGCGATGAGTCAGCGGCGGCTGCGCCCACGATCGGACTGCCTGTGTAAGCGTTGCCGCCGCGCCAGCAGCGCATCCTGCCTCTCCTCGTCGCAGCCAACGGTAACGCAATGCACGGATTCCGTCGCCCCAGCGGGGGGACGGAATGGGGTTTGCACAGTTGGGCGAAGTGGTGAGTGGAGTTCTATGTTGTGTACTTACATAGTCGTCACGGATTTGTCCCTCAGCGGGAGGAGAGGGAGAGGGCGCAGCATGGTTCGTTGTACATGTCACGCTCACGGATTCGTTCATCCTCAGGGGAGAGAGCGAGGGGGGTATTGTTGTACATCGTATAGCTCACGGATATCCGTCCCGCACGGGGAGGGGAGGGGGGTATTGTGTACATAGTACGCTCACGGGATTTCGTCCCTCAGCAGGCGGGGAGGAGAGCGCCGGCGAGGGCGGTGTTGTATGTACATAGTACGCTCACGGATTTGTCCCACAGCAGGGGGAGGGGGGGGGGTTGTTCTACATAAAATCCGTTCTGTAGTCGGGCGCATGTTGCCGCGGGTGTCGAATTGGTTGTGGGCTTCTAGGGTGAACAACGGGCAGCGTCTACGCTTTAATTAGAAACTTTCGGCGACATCGCCTGTAGCTCTCGAGCTGGCACGCTGTATGGGAGGGGGGGGAATTGTTGGACTTCTAGGTGTGAAACGAGCATTCGTGCATGGTGCCGCGGGCGGGGGGAGGGGTGGGGGTGCGGAATTGTACGCTGGCGTTCTGAGAGTGAAACGGGCAGCGTCTACGTAATCCTAGACTAATTATATTATAAAATAAAATTGGATTAATTCCACGAATATTGGATCAAATTACCTGGGAGTAGTGAATGCATGCGTGTAGCATCTCTCTTGTGCTTGGCAGTGGAACTCATGCAGTACAGAGTGGGGACGTCGTTTGTGTAATTGCATGGCAGAGTAGTTTTGTCTGTCATGTATAATATCACCGTGTATATACTTCATCAGTGGAAATTTTATAAAAACCGCATTGCCACGATCAAGGTTAATAATTTTCCTCCTTTTCTTTTGCTGTACGTATCGTGTGCCTATCGTACAGAATGGTCTCACGATTGCTCTCTTTTCACTTTTAGGATAGCCTATGTGCAAGTGTCAAAACCGAGCCAGACGGCAGGTGTTGGGGACTGTGCGCAGCAAGCTGGTGCTCTTACGCAGGAGTCCCAGCAGGTGGCCTACACACAGGCACAGTCCTACGTGCAGGCATACCTCACGTCCCACCTATCACAGGGCCAGCAGGCTGGTAAGCAGCATGCATGCGCCTAGATCGATTTTCAGGGGGCTCTGCGATGAGCACTGAAGGGTGGCACTTTAAGCCACTAGTGCTGAGGTCGTGTGCAAGGGCAGGTTTGTAAGAGCTTTGACGTGAAATTGATCTATCCGTCTGAACAAGGTTACCACATCCTTCATGGATGTGGTTGTTAACTCCATCAAGCTAGGCCAGTTCATAATGTGTTTTTCACGTGTAGATGCCAAATTGTTGACTTAGAGGCACTTTGGGGGAGCTTTGCTCAGCAGTGCATGAGCTCATCTCCATTAACAGATACGGATACAAATCCTGAGTAGCTGTAAAAGTAGCTTTCCTATCCAAGCAGTGTACATACAGAAATTTCTTAAAATACCAAAATATTAGCAAGTTTGCTCAAATTCCCTTCATTTATGCACGCAAGCCATGATCAACTCTTTATTATGTATATTTGTCTAAATTTATTTATGGACGTTTCGTGATCTAGAAATTCGTGCTATTTGCAAGTTATGGGCTAGTAAACACACTTCACGCGTGGTCACTGTATATTTTTTTGTTGCAGGCCAGAACCAAGTGAGGAGTCATCAACCCATTCCTACGCAGGCAACTATTCTCGTTCCACAGCAGCAGATGGCAGCAGTAGTCATGCCACCTCAGGTGACTGCTGCCACGCCGCCACGATCCGCCATGACACCTGGTACGCCGATCAGCACGCCTGATGGACATGGTGCCGTGTTTTATCAAGGTACAGCACACAAACAATAGCTTATAGAAATGCATATAAAGACAACATGGATATGGATAACAGAGTGAAATTGGCATGCATTTTGTTCTCATTGCTCATTCTCATGTGTTCATTCTCATTGTTCTCATTGCTCATTCTCATGTGTTTATTCTCATTGTTCTCATAGCTCATTCTCGTGTGTTCATTCTCATTGTTCTCATTGTTCATTCTCATGTGGCTATTCTATCCCTCGACGACTGCTCTACGACGAAATTTGACATGTCTAATAGTCGTAAAGTAGTAATAATGTTAAATTTGTTAATTGTAATAGTTTTGTTAATTACTGTCCATGCAGTGCATCATTGTCAAGAGGTAAATTAAAATTTTCTAGCTGCAGGGGGTAAATGAGTGCCATAGACTTCTGACATTTTAGACATCTGCTGCCAGTGTGGGGGTTGACACAGAGCATGAATTTGTCCGCTGTAATTCAGTTTACTGCTATATCACTATAAACATAATAAACTCGTCTTTGAAACTCTTGCAGCGAAATTGTCAAGCGACAATGGGGAAATTAAATTAATTGCGAGTGTGTGAGTGTGTGAGTCAGTGTCAGTGTCAGTGTCAGTGTTGGTGTTGGTGTCAGTGTCAGTGTTGGTGTCAGTGTCAGTGTCAGTGTCAGTGTCAGTGTCAGTGTCAGTGTCAGTGTCAGTGTCAGTGTCAGTGTCAGTGTCAGT